GAGATATTCATCTGTAATCAAATTTAGAAAGGGAGGCAAAGTTTCAGCTTTCAATCAGAGGCCAAAATTTGGAACAGAGGGCCAATACATCTAAGCTAAGTCTAAAACTCAATGAGGGAGATTCAGGAAGAAAAAAAAAAGACAGCTTTTTATAATTCTAACAAATGCAGTTGAAGAAAGAATCTGCTGGGATAAGCTTTTGTTTGGAAAATTTTGACACAGGCAGACTTTGAATGTGTCATAGTATATAGGCTTATATCTAAAGTTGCTCTCACTAAAAACATTTTCAAAGGACCCAAGCCCACGTGGCTTCTCCCTACACACTCGACCTCCATGCCCTTTATACAAGTAAATCACTTGCTGTGAATATTCAATTTGCCTTTTTGTTAGGCAAGGTATACAGGCCAAGGGGAGAACCGAGAGGGTGGGAGGGCAGGGGAAGAACAAAGGAAAGTCCATTCCAGGACTTCTCCATTGACCCACGGTGCCCACCCACTGAATGATCCATGGGGCTTGCCAGGGGAGCGTGCACGCCGGGCTAATGGGGCACAGAGCTCAAGCTGGACTGGAGTTCTGAATGCTGCTGAGTGCCTTCCAGTGCTTAGCACCTGCAGATGCTTGGGGAAACTGTTCCTCCTCCAACAGCTGTTCTCCACAGGAGTTCAGGCGAGTGCCCGTCAGCCAGGACAGGGAGCCACTGAGGGGCTCCAGACGGCCCACACGGACTACATCAACGTGTTCAGCACTTCGCAGAAAACAGACTTTCAAGGAATTCCTGTGGTGAGGAGATAAACGATTCTGACGCAATTCCTCACTGAAATGTCTAGGCAAATGAAGACTTCTGGAAAACCAACCATACATAGGGACCATAGTTTCAGGTCCCCAGACTAGGATGTATATTTTGTCAATACCGAAAAGGACAGCGCCATCCTCTGGACTCTCCCCCTCTGCTTCATCCTTATTGTCTGGTCTCTGGTTTTTTCATTGCAAAGGAGAGGTGATGCCAAGTGAGCCTCCAGATTCTGGTTCCTTCTCCCAGGAGCCAACACGCAGTCTGCTGTGAGTAAGCCATGGAACAGAGGAGCTGCTTCAAAGGCCTTGGGGAGTTTTCCACGTTGGCTGCCAGGCTAGTTAAGTGTGCAGTGTTGGAAATTCTAATTCTGGATGAAAAGAGTCACCCCCGCCCCCAGAGGGGTAGGACAGATAAAATGAGGAAAGTCTGCCACAAGAAGCCAACGTCTTCATCTCAAACCACCTCTGCTAGGGAAACATTGTTTTAAACTTTTTCAGAATTCCTATTTAAAAAAAAAAAAAATCTTTATTCTTTGCTTTACATGGTCCTCCTGAGAAATCTTGACTTCTCTAAAAAAAAGACAAGGATCTGGCAGGGGAAATACTTATTGCTCTTACCAATCATCTCTGGCAAATTCCTTCAAAACCTGACCTCTTCATTTTTTTTCCCCACCACGGAGATGGACTGCCTTGCACACCAACAGGAAGGACACCAGGAGCAAAGTAGGCCTTTGCTTCACCTCCTCTCCACCCCTTTCTATGCCCTTGTTCCCAGCTCTCCATTCTGGGAATGTGCTTTGAAACGGGGCCAAGGTGAGAGGGCGTGAGGCCTCCTTGTCACTAGGTCAGAGACTGAGAGGTTTTGAGGAGAAGTTTCCTCTAATGAAATGAAAGCTTCAGAGTACTCCAGATGGAAAGAGTGCCAGAAGAAACTGTCTTTCCTTAGCTGCCTCGGTAGGAGGGACGCTACCAGTGTCAAGCACAGTGGGAACGGGGGAGCCAGGCCTTGGAAGGTGGCCATTCATGGTTTTGGGACCGGGTGCAGCTGTTTCACATGGAAAGGGTCAGCGGCTCAGAGCAATAATTCTGTGGAGCCTGTAGACAAATGAATTCACAACATCCTTTACATATCTTGGCGTCTCCAGCCCCCTCCAATCTCCAGGCTGTCTACCTCTCTTCGGTGGCTACTTATTTCAAGGACTGAGATGGAGGATAAACAAGAGCTGCACTTAAAGAAACTGCTCCAGACCAAGAAGACACATTCCGGGAGCAAACTTGATTCCCAGGTGGTCTTGATGAGGGACACTGAGGTACGCTATGGGAGCGCCGGTCACCGCGCCTCGGAAATGCCTGTTTCTTTTCTCTGACACAAGTCACGCAGCACTCTTGTGTTCAGCACTTTGCAAAGAGCAAAGCAGATGTCGGCTGTTGAAGAATGCATGCGAGCCTGAAGCCAGCAACACTGCAATCCACCAAATGCCTGTGATGGAATCCATAGCTCCTCCGCTCACAAGTTTCCTCACTGACGTCATTTCAGGGGAAGCCAAAAATAAATAGCAGAATATGCAGGAAGAGCACAGACAGGCTGAAGTGGTTGAGTGTTTCAAGCAAACAGCAACAGCGGAGGGACTGTTTTTCTACAAGGGAGGGGGCTCGGGGGAACACGATCCACACATATGTGAAGCCAACCTTTGCACTTCACAGTGTTTCACCGGGATACGTTTTCAAGTTAAACCCAGACGAATAATGGTAAAGAAAAGAAAAAAAAAGCAAGAAATAAAGGCCTTCCCTAGCTTCGGTAACAACAGCTGGAAAGACCTTCATTAATCACGTAATTGTGTATCTGAAGTTCTGCTTGCTAGAAAGAAACCTCAGGCAGGTAGCTGAAATTACCCTGCAGGCAGCCCGCCGAGGCCTCTTTGTCTGCAGTGGGAGGAGGACATGAAGAAGTGCCCAGGGATCCTCTGCTGAGGAATCTTTATGTTCCTTGCACCTGCAGACAGTCACTCTGGCAAAGCTGCACATCACATTTAAAGTACTAAACCCAGGTTTCCCATACATTAATGGAAGATGTTAGATTTGAAAGAACACAGCAAGTCTAAGACAGAAATAAAACGCACATGAAGATTTCAGATTCTGGGCTGGGTGCAGTGGCTCATGCCTGTAATCCCAGCACTTGGGGAGGCCAAGGTGAGAGGATCACTTGAGACTGGGAGTTCAAGACCAGCCTGGCCAACATGGTGAAACCCCGTCTCTACTAAAAGTACAAAAATTATCTTGGTGTGGTGGCGTGTGCCTGTAATGGCTGTACATTTTACCTGCAGAAAATAGTTAGAGGACTAGCTGCCCAAACCCTGCAAGGGCCACATTATCTGAGCCTGGCACTTAAGAGATTACGGGAACTAGGATCAAAGGCAGAGGCCAAAGTTCTGATTAATTTATTATCACTAGTAACATTTTAACTAATGTTACTACTGGGGAGGCTCAGGCAGGAGAATCACTTGAACCTGGGAGGTGGAGGATGCGGTGAGCCGAGATTGTGCCAACACTGCACTCCAGCCTGGGTGACAGAGCAAGACTCCATCTCAAAAAAAAAAAAAAAAAAAAAAAAAAAAAAAAGATTTCAGATTCTGTACTCCTAGTTGCTATAGGCCAGAAAAGTTATTGTTCTCTCCTTTTATCACTGTCCTATAGTAGATGAGGTTGGGGATTTTTAAAAGCAACTGGCAAGTTCAGTCTCACTGTTGGCTGTGCAGACTCCCATGGGCCTCTTGCCTCTCAACACCTCTGGCCTGTTGTTAGTGTTCTAACAAAGATCACCACTGCCATGGTCACCTGGTGTGTGGACAAGTGGCTATATCTACATAAAAGGTTGACTTTCATTTGAACTATATATGCCACTGATAAGAACGTTTTTGCTCCCATTAAATGTTCTTCTGGGAGGAAAAAAAACATCAAAGAAACTTTAAGCTTTGGGCTGTGGTTTGTCGTTTAGAACCACCATGAGAATGAGGATCTGACATCTCCCCTCTTCGGTCCCACTTGCTGACAACTTTCTCCCATGCTCCCAATCACGCAAAAAGCCAAGGGAGCAAAAGAAAATGTGTGATAGAACATTCTGGCCATATTCTCTCAGCAGGATCTTGGCCTGTACAAAATACAGTTACTTACCTGCTGGGGAAGTGTTTTGGAGGAAGCAGGGAGGAGAGGCTAACAAGAGAAACTGAATACCCTCTAGGGCAGTAAAGACTGAAGAGTAAGCTGGGCACGGTGGCTCACGCCTGTAATCTCAGCACTTTGGGAGGCTGAGGCGGGTGGATCATGAGGTCAGGAGATCGAGACCATCCTGGCCAACACGGTGAAACCCCATCTCTACTAAAATACAAAAAACTAGCCAGGTGTGGCGGGGTGTAGCTGTAGTCACAGCTACTCAGGAGGCTGAGCCAGGGGAATTGCTTGAATCTGGGAGGTGGTGATTCCAGTGAGCCAAGATTGCACCATTGCACTCCAGCCTAGAGACAGAGTGAGACTCCGTCTCAAAAAAACCAAAAAACAAAAAACAAAAGACTGAAGAGTCAACCTTAAAAACAGGGGTCAGCAAACCATAATCCTCAGGCCAGATCTGGCCTGCTGCCTGTCCGTAAGTAAAGTTTGATTGGCACACAGGCATGCCTATTCATTTATATTGTCTAGGTGGCTTCTGTACTCGAATGGCAGAGTAGAGTGGTTGGGATAAAGACCGGGCTTACACAGCACCACACATTTACTGCCTGGCTCTGTGCAGAAACAATTTGTTAACACCTGCTTTAAAAAATTAGAATTTCCTTTAACTTTTGAAAGTAAGGGCTTGGCCAAGAGAATTCGGTTAATCTGTAACGAATGGCAGCAGATACTTAATGGTGGGGGAGGGGATCTCAGAGGCCTTACGAGTCAGTGTTCTGCAATTCTTTTGTAGGATAAAGAACAAGTGGCCTTCAATTTTCTCCTGCATCCTTTTCTTAGCCAACTATTAAATGCCCCACTTTTCCATGTCTGCAGATTATAGGCAGCTTCACACTCTCTACTTATGATCAGTGAGATCCTGACATCTAAGCGCCCCCTCTGCTGGTTCCCAGGGTAGATGAAAGCAGCAGTTGTTCCCTTCTCCCTAAGGCATAGCCGAGTGTCACTGTGACTACTACACTGGTGGGCAGAGACCACTGCTGTACCTGTTGGCCAAAAGCTGAGACCTAGTTCCCGAGGGCGAGGTCAGGTAGATGGCCAGGTCTCCTCTCCTGGGGTGGGTGATGGTGATGCGCACAACGACATGCTCCAGGTAGTTGACATGGCGGTTGGGGTTATCCGAGCAGCCCGAAGCTTTGTAGATGGAGCGCACTGCACTGTTAGGGCGGATTGTCCTGTAACAGAGAGAGAGGGAGTTTGAGCAAATGACACCATAGAGCTCAGGTGAGTGAAGCTGGAGGCATGGAATAAACTTACAATGTAAGACAAGCAGCTGATAGCTGGATACTAAACAACAGTGCTATCACCAAAATAACTGGGTCACTGAAAGGATTACCAGTTAGTGGGAAAGATGCAAGGGAGAGGTGAAAAAGGAACAAGGGTCTTCCATCTTCATGAAGGTAATAGATCTCAAACTTGAGTGTGCATTGATATCACCTTGTTAAAACACAGACTGCTGGTCCCAGAGTGTATGATTGAGTAGGTCTGGGATGGATCTCAAGAATTTGCATTTCTAACAAGTTCCCAGGTGATAGGGATAGACTGTGAGAACCACTGTACTGTGGTACAGTGGAGGCTTGGGGATTAGCATAACGGGGGTTCACATTCCTCGCTCTGTAACCCGCCAGCACATTCTTCCCTCTTGCCTACAGGTTCCTGTTTTCCTCTCTAGTTTCTTCCTGTGCCACAGTTCCCCTTGAACACTGGGCTGCAGCCACAATGGCATCAGGTTCAACCTCTGGGATAATTCAAGTTTCCCACCTTGGGGACTTCGCACACACTACTCTGCTTGAAGTACTTTTTTTATTGTTGTTGATGTCCCTATGGCTAACTCTTCTTCCTTCAAGGTCAAAGCTTAAATTTCCCCTCACTGAGACCTTCATCGAGCCACCGGTGAAAATATGTCCCCCATCTCTTATTTTTTACATTGTTAAAATTTCCAACATTCATTTATTGTAATTTGTAATTATTTACTTATTATATTTTTGGTGTGATGCCTCCATTAGACTGTAACCTCCACAAGGGTAGGAAGTATTACTTATTCTCCTTTTTATTCCTAATATTTTTCTCAGTGCTTAATTTTCAGTAAGTGGGAGAAAAATAGTTACTGAAAGAGTTTGTGAATGAATAAACACATAATTCCTTTGATCCCATTTTCTCATTTTTCAAATGAGAATAACGCCCAAGTTGTTACACAGCTTTAACATGAAAACATACATGAAGTCTCTAGCCCTTGGCGTGGCCCATAGTAAGTGCTCAACAAACACTGGTTAACTTTCCACCCTTTTGTTTTTTCTCTCTCATTCTTTGCCACAAGAGTAGAATGAAAATAAACTCAAACAACTTTAGTTGGTTTACTTCTGCTTCCCAACACATTTTCTCAAGAATGACAATGTCTCTAGTTTCAACATTAGCCAAGGTTCCAAAATACTTTTCAGAGAGAAAAGTCCCTGAACAGAAAGCCAAGAGCAAAACACTAATAAGCCTACTATGATAGAATCCTGTTGGCAAACCTTGTCAGCACAGCCTCCAAGTCTATGCCACTAAAACTGGGGAATAGGCCCTGAAAGCTGTGAGTAAACTGCAATCTCATTGACTGTACATTTTGCATCACTCTTTGGATAACTACGCGGTATAGAGTAGTTACAGTTTTTAAAAGTACACTGACTTCTGGAGAATACTTGCACCATCAAATAGAAATAGTGACAGTAGAAAACCTTCAATAGCCCAGAGGTAAGCATATCCCCCAATCCCTTTTTAAAAGATGCTTTTCTTTGAAGGATTCTTGGGCTATACTAGTATCAATTTAATAGCTCAAAATCCTAGTCATTCTATTACCATTTCATAGTCACATTAGAGAGATACTACAGAAGCTTTTAGCTTCTGTGTGCAACAAGGGGCTATCTTGAGCAATTTACTGGCTTGCTGTAGTTTGGGGCATTGTCATGCTGTTTGCCAGCAGCAAGCATTACTTGATTTGTCGGTCTGTGCTCTCCACACACACGTGCTGCCGGGGAACGGTGGTCCACTTCTCTGCCTCCATCACCATGGCTTCTGCATCCATCAGTCCAAATCCATATAGATGGCTCACTGTGGAAAGCAAGAGACTGGTCAGCTTCACTAAGCTACATATGTCGAATTATAAAGTCACTCAGTGGAGACCCCAGAGACACCCCTGTGGGATCCTAGCTAACTTTCCAGCAATGATTTGAGAAATAAATCCAGCAAAACAAATACATAATCATGTCAAGAAAATAAGACATATGTACAGTTTTCATTGATTACCTATCACTACCAGTAATAGGCCTATCATTTATGAATTGTTACTCCATGTCAGGCACTAGTTTACAGTTTTACATTTAGTCCTCCCAACAATCTTCAGAGGTTAGTGCCATTATTATCATCATCATTCATTAATGAGAAAACTAAAGAACAGAGAAAAACTTGGCCAAGATTGACTAGCAAGCCACTGGTCGAACTAGATTCTAATGCACATAGTTTTTCTCCAGGGCACCCCCTGTTTTATCACTTGCATTTAAGTGATGACATCACTGTTTTCATAAGATAAAATAATTGATAGGTTTAAAGAGAAGTAGCAACGTATATGACTTCTCATAGCGCAAGAAGAACTTACATACAAGAGATATCAATGTTCTGACATGTCTAGTAATTAAGTTGACTACCTTACAAGACATAAATTATTACCTTTCTTCTAGCATATACAAAATTTATCAAACTTGATCCATGAAATATTTGGAGGCCTCTAGACTTTCATGCCAGCTTCGAGTCTTTGGATCTTTTGGTTCTCAGTTAGCATACCTATTGATCTAAAGCTGAATTTGACATAACTGTCTCAGAAACTTCAATTAGATATAGGAATACTTGGTTGATACAGTAATATATACATGTGCAGCAGATCTTTCTAAAAATACTTTAAAATTCCAGTTGGCACTTAAAATCTCCACTTCTGATTGAACTGTCTCTTACAACTTTATATTCAACACTACGTCCTATTTCCAGTTTTTGTCTAAAACATTTTTTATTATCACATGAATGACTTTATGCAAACATTTATATAGCTGCCCATGCTTATGGATTACATAAATACATTAGCTTGATGGTCAAGGTGTGCTCAGATGTAGTTCCATTCTACCTGCAAAACCACCTCATCACCAAACCTTTTGCTTTAGGAAGGCCACTCTCAGAGACCCTAGTCAGAAGCTACTCTTTCTGCCCCCCTGCCGTTGTCCAGGTTGAGCACTTGGCCTCACAACCCCTCTTTCTTTCTCTCTGCAGAGTTAAGCCCTACTCTTATAAGTTCCTGAAGGCCTGGCTAGTCTATCTTTTCCTTCTTGAAGTACTCTCTGACCCATGAAATAGTCAAAAGACATTTACTGAAATTCGACTATCTGTGACCAGTGGACTTTTCTCCTTTCTATTCTGGTAACTAATTAATTTGTCAGTCCATCTGCCCTTCTGCCCATCCATCCATCCATCATCTATCCCTCCATCCATCCATCATTTCTTGAATGCCTTTGATGTGCCACACACTGTTATCAGGCACTGCACTTTTTATCTGTGCCATCAATTGCATTGCCAATTAACTCTCTCTGTCAGCATATGTCTTTTTACTCCAGCTGCATTATAAACTGCTTGATGACAGCAACTGGGTCTTGTTTCTTTATGTGTTCTAAGTTAACAGAACTTGATGCACATAGAGGACAAATAAATTATAGTATATAAAAAAGGAACATTGTGCTAGGATGAAAAAATACTGACTTATTCATGCTTATTTGCTGATAATTCTCAGCAAACAAGAAAAAATAATACACATTTTCCTTATTTTGGGATGTTATGATCTACGTCATCTACATTATTAAGTTCATGAAGCTCCATGTGAGAAAATCTGTGTAAAGAACCATAATAATGTAAGGTCACCTTACTTTAATAACAGGTACTTAGCCAGATAGGACATATGAAATAAAAAAAGTAAACCTACTTCGCTATGGCACGGATATAGGTAGGAGTTTTATAAAATGTACTTCTGTAATTATTATTTTTATTAAATTAAAAAGTGAGCATATTCATTGTAAAACATCTTATCCAGAAAAGAGTAAACAAAATGAAAGTTATCAAAAACCTTATCACAAGTTGATAACTTTTATGAAAAATTCTGAATATTTAGTTTTAGTTCCATAACATCATGAGGGTTCATTAAAAAGGGACAGAGGTACTCACATGATGCAGAAGAAATGTCAAATTTGGGCTTAAGTAACTAAACTGTGGAGATCATGAGAATCATTACATTCTTACTCATCATTTAACCATATAGCCTATACCAGGTCATCATGGACAGTCGATGGGATTTTTCCCCCACCCCGGGGAAATTGAAATTGAAAGATGTTATGTCAGGAGTTCTACCTCCGATCGTCCTTAAATATCCCCCATGCCAGGGTCAAGTGGTTTTAAACTAGCACAACTCATCATTTTATTTCAGTTTAGGGAAATAAGATGAAAGATTTGATTGCATGTTGGGGGTATGGAGAAGGGAGGTGGGGACTTGGAGAGGGCAAGGGCTTTGAGCTGTCACTGCAATACCAGGTACGTGCCCCACCTGAGCGCCCACGCTTGCACTCAGCTGCACTGGCTCCTATTTCCACCTCCCCTCCTCCATAACTGTCCACGTAACAACCATGAGGACATAAATTAACATGAACAATCAGATACAGCAAACACTTCATGCCTGTTAAACAACCACTTGAGTTAAGTAGAAACGCACCTTGAGACTTTATGAAGGCCATAAATTTGTTTCCTTTTCCAATTCAATTTCTACCCTCCAGAGACAATGTCTGTTCATGAAACACTCAAACTAGATGCTTAGAAAAGAGGCTGACTAGCTACAGTTAAACTGCAGACTGGTCAATGAAAAAAAACCTTCATACTAATATAATATTAATAAACAAGAAAACTGGTTGCTGAGTAGATCAATGAAGGTCAATATGTCAATAAGGGAAATTGCACAATAAATGTCTTGGGCAGATGAACTCCCTCAAAATCTCGTGTCAATAGGGGAAAGAGCCATTAAGCAGTTTGGAAGCACTGACAATTTTTTACATAAAATTTTCATACTCAAAATGACCTATAAAGAGAGAAACATTGACTTTTTGGGTGACCATTTGAGTCAAGTCTGTCTTGCTCATCTACTGTTATCCTGAGGGGCTCCCAAGGATTCAGAGTATGAGTCTCTCCAGCGGCTGTGAAATGCCTGGCTTGGAGCAGGGCTTTTATCAATATTTGTGAAATGAATGAATGGTACCGAGAAGAGAAATGTTATTTAATTCACCAAGTGTCATAAAGTGTTTACTAGGGAATTGTAAGGGGAAATTAAGAGACCTGTTCTTTTTATTACTGATTTCTGTAAAGTCACCCTTAACATTTGAAATTTATTCAAGGACAGAGCCAATATTCACATTTTACAATGTACAATTATAGCAAATATACCGTACAAATGGTTGGTTACGATACGGCCATTCCATAAAGAAAGTAATCTTACTTATGCACATTTCTCATGCCCAGTTCAGAGCAAAAGCTGAGCCTGAATATAATTTTATGATGATCAAGAGGAAGCCTCTCTATGCAAGCACTGTGTAAAATGCAGAATTGCATGAAATCAGAGCACTGTTAACATTGGTGTGAACAGGAATCCCGACCAGTTCAAATAGAATTTTTCATTCCTAAGAGTGGGGGCAGAAACATTCAATTCAGTTTTAACCTTAGTTAAAATTCAAAAATCAAATATTAAAAACATATTGAGGGAACAAAGTACGTATATGGAATAATTAAAGATCTTGAAGCAAAGTTACTGGAGTACATTTCGGAAAGTAAATCTGTTTTTTAGTGGAGTGAGGCAGGACAAGCTCTGTTTCAATAAAGGAAGTTTGCAAAACTTGCCTACCGTTATATCTGTTCCTTTAGAGTTCAGGGCTGTTTACATTTTGATAGGTATAAGATATCAACTGAGGTCTCACACATAGCCTCATGTATGCACGTAAGCTCAGGAAAGCCGTTTCATCTTGCACCAGAAGTACAGCTAGTTTTTATTCAAAAGTATCCAAAGGCTTCCCTGCTTGGAATAGTCAGATGGACAAGAGAACACAGGAAAATAGTTAATATTCTCTGGCAGGTATATTCTCATTTTCTGATGAGACCAGAAGTGCTGAGAGAAGATAATCGTTAGGCACACAAGTAGGTAATTACGTAGTTTGAAAGCAGATTCATTTAACATACACAACAGCTTTAGCTAGGAGGCCTAAAAGACTCTATTCTAAAGATAAGCTGGAAAGCTCAGCAGGAAAAAAAAAAATAGAAGTTTCTGGGCATAAGAAGCTGTAACTAGGAAAAATTGGGTATATGTTCATCTCTTTTAGTGGATGGTCCTTACTGGAACCAGTTATTTAACAGTTTTACAAAATTACACTGAATGGATAATTCATGATGACACTAACAAGATTACTAGTAAATCACTCTACAAGGAATTGACTGGTTACAAACAGTTTGAGCTTCCTAAAGTGAAAGAGGACCTTTCTGCTAAAACATAGCGTTATGCAGTGTCCCGCAAACAAATACATAAAATAGGGCAAACAAACAAATTAAGGCCAACAAGCAGCACCAAAAACTCTCTCCAAGCAGCCCAGGAGAAACTTTAAATTTGGCCTATGCCTGAAAAAATGCAACTTAGTAACAACTGTCCATTACTGAGTATTTAATGTAAAAGCATAGGTAAAATACCTCCCCATTCCTTATGACCAGGGAGAGTAAATGTCCACATTTGCTCAGGGCTGTCTGATGTTAGCATTGAAATGCTTGAGCCCCGGGAATTCCCTCATTCCTGGGCAAACCAGGAGACTGGTCACCATACGTGCAACTGAAATCGTAATGTGACAGTACTATGGAGAGACAGTACTCTCCCAACTGTTAACATCAATAATCTAGTTCCTAGAGGGCAGTCAGGCAACCTGCACCTATATTTCTATTTGTTCAGATGCACAACCATCAAAATACGAAACATGGATGATAAATTAGATTCAATT